CTCCTATCATATTTCAATCAACCAAAGTAAGGCTTTAAAATACATATCCACCTTCTCATTCGGGTAATTTCTGACCCAGAATGCATCTGTGTTTCAGCCACTGCAGCATATTGTCCTCTGCTTTCTTAAGACAGCTTTTAGATTAATGTGTGGGTCCGTGTGTGTGCGTGTGTGCAAGAAAGTCGACGCCAGGGATTATAGTCGCAGAGAAACACTGTCTCTTTCTTGTGTAAGTCTGAGTAAGCCTGCCTGACACGCACACACACACACACACACACACACACACACACACACACACACACACACACACACACACACACACACACACACATATCATGCACACACACACACATGAAATATTCCAAAGCTAGATTTATCCCTTCCACTTTTGCCCAGCTTAGCGGCCCTCCTTCACCTCTGAACTGAGATCAGTGTCATCTCCGTCTGCTCGGCTCCACGCTGCAGCACCAGAAGACGCTCGAACTGGTCTGAGATCAGCATGAAAGAGAGGCGGGGAGGGAGGAGTGGGAGTGTGGCTCATGGTGTGAGAAGGGCTGGTGGTTGGGGGGGGGAGAAAGACCTATGGACGTCATTACTCCCGTGATTCATACTGTAAGTAGGCTGCAGGGAGGGAAAGAAAAACCCGATGGATGCACTCATAAGTGACCCTGCTGAGTGAAAAAACTGTGTAACAGAACATTAAAATACACAAAGCAGGTTCTGCCTGTTTGTCCTCCTCCTTTGCATGTAAGCAAATGTTTGTTATTTTCCTAATTTCATTGACAGCAGAGTGGGCAGGATGTAGGCTGGCAGGTTTGAAAGTTTGACTCTGGGGCAAGTTGGAGGTGGATATGAAGTGGGATTGAATGTTTTCAGGTCAATATTAAAACATTTTGCCAATATTCTCAGCAGGAAAACATTGAATTTTGAAATGCTCTTTCAGAAAAAAAGAGGTATTTCAACACATTTGTTTTCCCTTTTGTCTGTTTGTCTCCCTGCTTTTTAAAACCCTTTCAGAGTCACACAAAAAGGGCCCTTGAAATGTCAAAAAATGGTTCTGACTGTGGTAGTTGTTCATCCAAATCCTTTCTCAACCATTATTGGATCATAAAGGTTGGATTTAACAATTTTAAGTTGCAAAATATGGAAAACTTATCAAAAATATCAAAAAGAGTCAAAAGTGAAAAGTACTTCCAGTGTCGGTGTCATATTCATGTTAATCAGAATTAAACGTCCCCATAATGACGCTCCAGCAACCTATCGGCATTCATCATTGTCTGATGGACCATATAGCTGCTGCAATATCCGGGAGTAGCGCCGTTCATCGTTTGAGTTTCATTTCAACAGTAGTATACTGTATATGTTTTTATAGCAGCTTCACTCCGGCTCACTTCAGCGGTATGAGCCTTGAGACTTTTTTGTGATTTACTTGCAGTTAATGGGAATCAAGTTTACCAAAATAACATCATTGCAGATGATGCAGAACATGCAGATTTGCAAATAGTTAAAAGTCAAGCTTTGTCAGAGCTTTTGTCAAGAGGAAAATAACTTTTAAAATGTTTGTTTGATCGATCACCTCTGATGAGTCTCAGTCAGTCAGGGGAACTAAACGCTGATCGGCTCAAGCAGATTGCTGATGTTTAAACATTTGGTTTATAATAGATTGGTAGCTGCTCTTTAATGTACCAGATATCTCTTTATTGAGACGATTACATCATCATGAAAATGCTGCCGAGAGGTGATTGTATGAGTGTAGCACAGATGATTTTCATATGAGCGTTTCTCCGGCAAACACCAAAACCTCCTGATACGTCATTGGTCAATACAGCTTGGACTACAAATGTACACTTCCCAATGCTGAAAATCCAGACCCCCATGTAAAGATTCTACATGTTTATGTTGAATCTGTAAATTGAGATGATTGACATTCAAGCAAACAGCGATTACATCACACGGGCTGTTTGGCCTCTTCTTTCACCTCCGTTACTACCTCTGCTGCTGGCTGGATGGCAATACAGCTTTACAACACTGTTCTGCCTGCATACCTTTGACACAATTAAAGTCAGTGTAATAATGTCCTGCCTTGAAGAGTGTGTGTCAAGAGGCTGCAGTTTAAACCAAGCCATACAACATTGAACTCCAATAAGCAGTGAACAACCCCCAAGAGAACATGACAATGTGCAATCAGTCTTTTTCTAGATTACACTACCAGACTGTCTGCAATATTACTTTAATCCCAGTGCTATCATTTCATTGCTACTAGCAATGTAATAAATTACATTATTACATTGCATTACTACATTCATAAAAGTGCCATTTTTAAGTTATTTGAAGGCTTAAGTCGAGGGAAATTAGACTGTAACTATCTATGAACCTTGAAATTGTTGCGTTTGATTGTTTTTTTTTGTGCCAATGTTGAGTTTTGTCTGTATTTTATTTCATCTGCTTACGTGGAGTTAGTCTGCTTTCTGTTGGACAGGCGGGTGCCAAAGACTGGTTGTTAGCTTGTGCTAGCGAGTAGTAGCATGAAATGTACAAACAGTAAATAAACAGACGATGTCCTGCAGTGAGGGTGAACCTTGTGGTAGCTCTGAGCCAATGAGGAGGGGCCCAGTTTGAATGATTTGTTTACAAGCTGAAACTAAAAATGCTACCGACTTGACGTTTAACCATGCAGGTTATTTTTGTGTTGAGATCTCACCAAACAGACATTTTCACACTAACCGATAGTCAGAATGGATGAAAGCAAAGTCAGCCATTAGCATTTACTTTCGACCACCTGCAATGAGAACATGGGTGAAAAGTCTGACTTACCAAACATTTCTGTGCCCTAAAATCCCTCCCTGTGTGCATTCACACCGGTGCAGAGTCTGTTTCTGAACATTATGAAAATGACAAATGGCACAGATGAAAACTTCACAGCACGGATAAATCACTTTGAGCCACTTTTTTGCTGAGCCTTTTTTTTTTATTCCCCTCCTCTCTGCCTCTTTTCCTTTTTATTACTGAGGGAGATGAATTTATGCTTTAGCTGCCACCGGCTCAGCACTGCTTCATGTCTGATGCACACACACACACACACACACACACACACACACACACACACACACGCCCAGACACACTCAAAGAAACACACTGAGTATTTGGGATGGATTAGGTTTATGATTATGGGCAGATAGAGAGAGATAGTTATCATCATCGTTATATTTTCAGTATAATATACTGAACATAATGATGATGACACCTCTCTCTCTCTCTCTCTCTCTCTCTCTCTCTCTCTCTCTCTCTCTCTATATATATATATATATATCTGGAAATGTTTCTTAATAACTGATAATAATGATACAGTCCAGGCTCCTGCTGTTTCTTAGATTCGTTTCTGTGTTTTTTTTTTAAAAAACCCATGGCCGTCAGATTGTCTGGCAAGTGGGACTTAGCTGGCAGAGTGATACACAAAAAAAAAGAAACACAAACACAGAGGAGATTGAGCACAAAAGTGCACATGAACACTCAGGCAGCTTGACAAAAATCGAAGCAGACAGATTGTGTGAGAATAAAAACGAAGCAAGAATGAGGATTCTGAAATGATGGCTGGAAAAAAACACAACAATTTTTGGTACACGGCGCGAGAGTCAGACTGAAAGTCAGCATGTGATCTGGACCTCACAGATGTCCACTCGTTTGCTTTGTTCCCTGCAGATCTGCAGCAGTGTCCAAATGTAAATGCCAGTGTCACTGTTGGTGGGAGCAGCGTCAGGTGTCATGTCAGCCGTGTCACGCTGAGTGACACCCTGCTAGGGCCGAGACAATGATGCAGTCGGCATCATTTAAGCGGACTGTAAAGAGCTGACGGCTGCAGGACACACCAGATCGTGCAGTGACATTTTTTTTGTGTGGGTGTTAGCGTAGGAGTGCACATGCATGAAGCATGGGGGTGTGTTTTCCTCTCTGCTTTTTTTCTTGCTTGTACACGACAGGCTTGTCAAAATGACTTTGAGGTTGATTGATGATGATTTACATTCTCTCATTTGCTACCTCTGTTTCTGTTTCTCAAACAGCATTAACAATTTTGAAATTTTGTCCTGATACCTGCTTTGATTTTTGTATCATCCAATATCATAATACACATATTATCAATCAATGAAATCTTTATCTGTTTAACAAGAAAAAGAAAGAAAAACCTTCTTCTGACAGGCAGAAACCTCGAGCAGAACCAGACTCTTGTTCAACAGCCATCTGCTGAGACTTGTCTTTGTAGAAAAACATGTCTTGTTCAAACATTTTTAGCTTTCACTGACATTACACACTTTGTTAGCGCCACACTGTTGTTGTTCGTTACATGGTAATAACTGAAACTGAACGTTTCTTTAAGGGAGTAAGTGATTCAACATATTTAAGGATGTGCTCATTGAGATGAGGCATTTTAGGCAGAATCCGAGGCTGGTACCCAACTCAACAATTTTCTTTTGCATTTAGCACTTTCACACAAATCTTCACCCTATGCCTAACATAGGAACAAACCAAGGAGCGACCTCCAGTGTTTAAAAATGAAGCCAATGCAGAAGTGCAAAATCCTGCAGTTCCTTCAGTGTCCACTTGAGGCTGGCTCCAAGAGCCCTGGAAGTCTTATACACACCATAGCCAAAAATACAGTTTTTACAGCATAAATGAACATGTTTACAGCCTGGTACCAAAAACAAATAGGTCTGATTAGTTATTGTCATCACGGGCACACACTGTACGGGGGGGCTGAATTTTTTTCTAACACATTTGTTTAGATGTCATGAAAGATGCATGTTATCCAAAGTCAGGCGTGTAGCTGACATGATTGACAGGTGGGGGCGATGTAGCGGTTTGTCAGGAGGATTAAAACCCGCCTCCGCTCACTCTCAGGCTGTCGTTAGGATGACTGAAAGTTACAATGAGACAGGATTTCCAGTATCGTAAACTGATACTTTAAAACACTCTTCTCTGTTTCTCTCTCTTCTCTCTCAGTTTGCTGTTTTGTGGTTCACAAACGCTGCCATGAGTTCGTCACCTTCTCCTGTCCTGGTGCTGACAAAGGACCCGACACAGACGTAAGTGGTTTTCTACTTCTTCCAGACTTCTTTTTTCACTTCCTCCCATTCAGCTCTTTCAATACCCAGACACCTGGCTGCATCTGTCTGCAACATAAAACACACCTTTACATGAATATATTGGAATATTAAAAGACTGGGAAGAGAAAGTATACAGAAAAGGGGAGAATCTGTTTCCAAAAAATAAGAATTCCATACCCCTCTTCAGACTGCTTTTTTATTTATTTATTTATTTTTCAGCTCAGCCTTCACCGCGTCTTTGTACATTCATAATGATTCCAGGACAGTGTAAAATTCTTGTCCCAGTCTGTGAGTTTACATTGTGTTTCGATGAAGCACGGCACAGTGGAAACTACACACACACACACACAGACAGACAAGCACGCACACACGGCGCTGCGCTACCCCGCTTGGTTCAGCTGAAATCGTCTCACCTCTGTAACGCCTCTGTTACTACCTCCAAAAACGGTACAGAGGTGGATTCTCTTGGTCTGTCTGCCCCCCCCCCCCCCCACACCCCACACCCATTACATCACCACGACATTCAGACTGGAAGCGAAATGTCACAGGAGCGTAAATATCACAGCTCAAAACGTCAGTCTGAATCAAGCTTTTATGTCGTCTGGCCTATATCCTCTGTTTTTTTTTTTTTAAGTAGTTTCCAAGATGTTTTTTGGTAACTGATAAGAAAAGTGCAGTCTGTGCTTCTTTAAACACAGCAATTCAGATGTCAAACGGACAGAAGAGCCTGAAAGGATGAGCTCAAAGCAGAAGAGCAAGAGTTGAACTGTCTGGTGAAAGATGGATACAGCACTGAGTCAAAGGACGTCAAGAAGTCCTCTCAACCTCTCCGAAAATGTAGTTCAACAGGAAACTAAAACTCCTGTGTGCACAGCTACAGAGAGCCAAACATACATCTGGTAAAAGTTTGTTTTTGAAGTTTTTACTGGAAGTAAACGTGAAAAGAAGAGGACAAGGAGGGACGATGAATTTGAAAACAAAAAGGAAATGAGGAGATCCCTTAAACGGATATTAGACGAGTGTTGAAAAGCATTGATTACTTTTTCTCAAAAGGCTTGATTGAGTTTCAGGTAAGTTTCTCATTCTACGATGTAACAAGGTATCAGATAAACATTTAGCATCTGGACAGAGACAGCTCAGCCATCTGAGGAACATGTACAGTCCAAAAGCAATGTGGACATTACTTACAATGCCATCCTGAAAATATTTGGCTCTTGGGGTTTCTGGTGAAGCTTCTTAAAAAAGCTGCTGGAAACGTGTTGTTTCCTCCTGTCTAGATCCCTGCTTTGGTTGATCCTACTTCTCAGATGAAAGCATCTGCTGGATGAAAATGTAGAATTGTAGAAAATCCTGGCCAAGACTTCCTTTTCCATTTCCTGGTTATTTCTTACAGTCCAGCTACTGTAGCATCAGTAGACATGACGGAGGAGACAATGTCACAACTAGATTGTTATCTGCTCTTTATATTCAAATGTCTGCTTGTAGAGACTAATAGAGTTTGTTCATTCATTCACACACATTTCTTTGGTGCTCAGCGTTCCCAAGATGGGAAGTTGTTTTTTCCTACTGTGGTGTGTTCAGGAGCTTCATGTTGTAACAAGGAAACAACAATGGATGCTGCAAAGATGATAAGTTGATCATGTTATCATGTGTACAGAAGCTTATGTTTCTTATGCAATATGACACGTTGAATTGACAAGAGAAACATAAATTGCAATACATGAATTCATGCAAACTGAACAAATGCTTTGGTCCGCCTCTTTTCAGCATTATTTAACACTAAACTCAGAAACCAGATACCAACATTTTCTCTGACTGTCTCAGTTGTTGCAGAAATACTTATCTGTTTGTGTCCGAAAAACATGAGCTGGAAACAGTTGGCATAGTAATCCTCTTAAAAATGTGATGCAGCGTCCCTCATTTGTATACCCTGCATCTCACAAAAATCCATCCACACTGACCGTTTAATAACACTTAAAGACCGGCGTATCAATAATCCCTTATGAGAGGGAGTATTGCAATTTACCATCGTATTGATTTTCTGTAAAAGTCAACCTTCTACCTGCAGTATATCTCATGTGGAGCTCTTCTCTGTTGTTTGCTCCCACACATCAGGTGTGATGATATTGTCCCTCATTAGCTTTCTCTCTCTTTCCCCTGAACCAGTCTGGTGCTCACAGGGCAGAGTGGTGGTGTTGGTGGTGTTTTGAGTGAGTCTGACCTCTGTACTCCCTCAGGGTGCCGTATATATCTGTTAGGTGTGAATGTGTGACCTCGCTGCAACAGATGAACCTCCGTCTCCTCTTGCCTCTGGTCAGGGACAGAATGTGTCCTTGGTTAGATAAGAGATGAAGGTCAAGAGCAGCAGCAGAGTGAGCTGATGTCGGTGCTTCAACAGGCAACAAGCTTTACTGAAGCTATCAGAACCAATAGATGAATATAAAGACAAATCACACGTCTCTACCTCCTGTCCATTTAAAAAAAAAAAAAAAAAGTGAGAAAAACACTTTTTCTACTAAAAACACTCATTTAACATACCAATACAACATCAGAGATCCCTGCTTTTATTTTGAAAGGAACTTTCAGGTAACGCAACAAAAGAAGCATGTTATGTTAAGAAAATTTAAAGGGAAAGAAAAGCTAAAGAAGACGTTAAAAAAGTGAAATGTTAGATGTCAGAAGCTGAATTATACTTTTGGCTTTTGAAGCGGTAACCTACTATGTTGAAAAATGAAGCCAATGCTGAAGTGCAAAATCCTGGTTCGTTCAGGGTCCACTTGAGGCTGGCTCCAAGAGCCTCGGAAGTCACATACACACTCCATTCAAAAAAAGTTTTCACAGCAGAAATTAACATAGTTAATCAATATGCTAATGGTCTGGTTAGTTATTGTCCTCATGGGCTAACACTGTACAGGGAGGGTTATTTATAATGCATCCTTTTTGTTTTTTGTCGTATGATTGATGGGCAGGTGTGCTGTAGCAAAGGCTTGAAACCCGCCTCACCTCCAGCTCTCAGCCGGTCATTAGGCGGACTGAAAGTTAGGCTGAGACAGGATTTCCAGCATGGTGGTTTCCACAGATGAGCCTCTGGAGCCCCCTGCAGTAACAGATGGGTGACGTCACTCAGGCTCCGTCCATTAGTATTTACAGTCTATGGTTAAAAACTGAGCCGTCTGGGAGTTAAAAAAAAAAAAAAAAAAGGGGTGTTGTTCTTTTCCATCACTGTGCCTGCAGGAAGACGCTGCTGTCTGTGCAGAGGCTTAGCTACAGTGCGCCTTAAGGGACAAAAATAGCAAGCGATCGATGCAATAAAAAAAAGGAATGCATTAATTCCAGACCTTAATCGGATTAATGCGTAAACACTGACAGCCCTGGAAAATATTGTGTACTTCTCCATAAGCCACCATTCTCTCCCGTCATTGGTTATTCATTTTAACTGTACGACTGCAGACACAAGAAGCCGATTAGAAGCTAGTAAGACTCTTTAATGAATGTTCCCTGGACAAGCTAATGAGACACACCCACACTAATGTCTCTCATGTTTCTTTTTGTGAACAACTTCACTGTCTTACTTTCACTTGTATTGACTGTATAATTGTCATGACTCTTCACCTCCTTCTTATCAGAAGTTGTTAAAGTTTTGTTTTTTTAAGTCTGCAGTTTAGTGAAGCTGTGTTTATTCAAAGCGGTCGCTCTGTATTGGCTCCTCTTCTTTCTGTCTTTATTTAAGACTCATTAGTCTTGTCGCACGCTGTCCAAGACCCATTGCTCATTTTCTGCATCGCTCCCGTGCTACTTTCTTATTATTCAGCCGTGCACCTCGCCAATTCCAACTGTCTATCTTCCTGCTTAACTATTTATCTCTGTCTTTCTCTTCCTCTATTTTATCACACACACTCCATCTCTCTCTCGCACACTCACTTACCTGCATATGTGGCTTAAAGTGCCCATTGTGGATTTTGATCTGCCTGTTTTTGTGCCCATTATCTACCGGCTGGCACAGAGTGAATGGAGGGCCCCCAAGGGACCTCTTTCAGCGCCATATAATGATACGAGACGAGCTCAAACACAAACAGCTCTTTTTTTTTAAAAAGAGTAGAGCACTTATTTTCCTCACTCTGTGCCCGTTTTTGACACTTTTATCAATAAAAACTGTTTATTTGCAGCTAAGAGAAAGTCAGTTTGTGGGGTGCTGGGGGTGCAGTGGTTAGTGCGCACTCCCCATGTATGGAGGCTATGGTCTTCCAAGCGGGCGGCCCGGGTTCGAATCCAGCCTGTGGCTCCTTTCCAGCATGTCATTCCCCTCTCTCTCTCTCTCGCTGATTTCCAACTCTATCCACTGTCCTATCTCTTAATTAAAGGCACAAAAATAAATCTTAAAAAAAAAAAATAGAAAGTCAGTCTGTGAGAGATGCTACATACATGTATGACAGTAAAAATGCATATTTAAATTGTTTGAGCATTAACAGTAAATTATAGATGTATTTTTGGGATAGACTCAAACTAAAACCACATTACCGCTGTTCATCATCCTGATCAATGAACGTGGAAACATTGCAGCAATTTTGCTCATTGATGCTTTTTAAAAGATTTTGGATTTTTTTGTGCAATGAGGGAGCACAATGGCGAGAATATAAGCAACACATGTCCTTTAAATGTCACACGTAGCACCTCAACAAAGAGTCAATGAATCAACTGATCAGAGTGAATAATGATGACTCACATATCCATCAGTCCCTCCTTCTCATCATGACCTTATCTGCACACCTCCATCTCTCACCTCCTGAATCAGTCAGGGCTCTCTGGCTCGGACACACACACACACACACACACACACACACACACACACACACACACACACACACACACACACACATACACACACACACACACACACACACACACACACACACACACACACAATGTGAAGTTCGCTCGGGGTTGGGAGTGACCGTTAAGCTAACCTTGTTTCTGAACAG